CAGGTGTAGTCCAACATGAAAGTTGGGATCTGACTTACCATCATAAATTTGGAACCTTGGCATACTGAATCTTTTTGGTGCTTCAAATTTGTCCAGTTCCACCGAGAACGGTGTTCTCGGCTTAGCTGGGGATGTCACCTCGGCTTCAACATTCTGCTGCCTCCTTTTGAGGTAATCCCTCAAGTCTTCCTTACCCCTGCCTGGAGCTCGGCTATCTCCAGAATTCAATCTTTTTGGCACACTACTTTCGGCCTCGTAGTGGGCCCTTTTCGATCTTTCTCCATGGGTTGTGTCAAAGCAGAGTGCTTGCCCTTGAACATGCCGATGTTCTTTGGGCCCTGGATCCTTCATGCGATGTGTCCTTCGGGACTCTTCTTGCCTTGGCTCCTCTCGTCTGACTTCCCTGGAAGGTCGGTGAGAGTGCTTTCCACTCCTGGTGTGCTGAGGGGTTTCGGGGATTGCTTTCCTTCCTCCCTTCTGGGTGTTAATTGCCGGCATCGGCGTATCTTGCAGCGGGTATGGCGGCTGCATAACATTGTTTTGCATCATGAAGTTGACCACTGACTGTAGGTCTGCCAACTTGTTTGCCAAGTCTTTTACTTCCTCATCTCTCCGTAGGCACCTATCCCTCAATATCTGAAGGTTATCTTCGTTATAATACTTGCTTTGGTCTGTTCGCTTCGAAGTACCGCCCTCCTGGCCGATGTCTTTCTCTCCGTGACTCTGGTCATGATTTTCTGTACTGTGGTTGTCTCCTTCAACGTCAAGATCAATTGGTTTACCACTCCTAGCAGGAGTGTCGCCCCCAATGTTCTCCCTCTGTCCGTCACTGGCCATCTATTCTTCTAAGATTCCCACAGACGGCGCCAAATTGTGTGGGTAATTTTCCGACCACACTGCCCGCCTAGTAATCAGCTGAAGAGTACCGGCAGAATAGATGGCTTCAGTGAACCTGCAACAGAAAGAAAAGGCTTTGGCGGTGGCTCTTTCACCCGGGGGCACTCCGACGATCAAGTCAGTATATATCTCAAAGATAATCAAGTGCTAAACTCACAAACTTGAGTATAAAACTGCGTACCTTAGACCCACGGGGGTGCCTCTCTTTTATAGTTTTACTAAATCCAAGTCCCACTAGAAGTCTGACTTCTATGGACTCCAATTCAATGTCAACTTTGGACTCTTCAAGAGATAAAGATAAACTCCCTAAGAGCTTTATCCTTATCTTAGCAAAGTCTTCTCTTTATTCTAGGACTCTTGTCCTTTATCCGCTTATCTTGGATTCCGATATCTTCGGAGATCACCTCGGCCTTGCCTAGGTAACCTCAGCATAACTACCAGGACACGTGGCACCTCGGCTGACACGTCGACATCACCATGCCACGTGTTGGTATTCAGAAAATACATCCCCACAGATACATTTAAGTAAGTTGCATCTGAAAAACATAAAAAAATTACTTAAAATTTTAAAAATATTCACTAAAAATAAAAAATACAAAAAATAAAAAACTCAATTATTAAAAAAACTGAAACCAAATATAGTGAAATATTCACGACAAACTCGAAGGGCAAATCTGTAAAACCAAGCAAAACCAATCACACCCGTGGGAGGTTCTATATGCACACATCATATCCCCTTTTTCCACACACTTAATGAAAGAATGTGTTAAAAAGTTGTATGTGAAGGATGTGTATAAAGAGAGAGTGGTGTCTGTAAATAGATGCTCCCCACACCCGTTCCCCCTTCCAATAAACACCCCTCCAAAACCCTAGCTAGCTTCCGCTATCATTTCTCTCCTCCGCCGCTTAAACCTCTACATAGAGAGTTTTAGAGAGAGAGAGAGAGCAACAATGAAGACATGGTTGAAGAAACACAGGAAGAAGAGGGCCCACGTTAGTGCTAGCCATAGCCGCATTGGAAAACACAAAAAACATCCCGGCAGGCGAGGAATGCCCGAGGAATGCACCACCACCGCATCCTCTTCGACAAGTACCATCCAGGTTACTTCGACAAAGTTAGCATAAGGTAGTTCCATAGGCTCAGAAACAAGTTATATTGCTCCAGCGTCAATATCGACAAGCCTTGGTCTCTCGTTCCTCAGGAAATCAAGGCCAAGGCTTCCCTAACCAATGCTCCAATGATTGATGTCACTCAGTTTGGTTACTTCAAGGTTCTTGGTAAGGGCGTGTTGCCTCAATCTATGCTGATTGTTGTTAAAGCTAAGATTGTTTTGAAGACTGCTGAGAAGAAGATCAAAGAGGCTGGTGGTGCTGTTGTTTTCACCGCTTAAGTTTGCTTTTGTTTATTGAAATTTAGGGTTTTGAGTTTTACTACACTTTGGGCATATTCAAATGACATTTTTATGATTACTATGTTTAGCTTTTAATGATGCAATGCAATATTATTGTTTTTTTTTTGTTTCTGTTCTAAGTAATTTTTGAATTCATTTTGTTTTGGATTTGTCATGTTAGTTGTTTGTGGTTTTGTTTTATTGTTTTTCAGTTGGGTTTTAAGTGGCTTAATTGAATGATGATTAAATTTTGGTTGTTATATTGAGAAGCAAGTTTGAATCAGTTACTGCCTGTTTGGATTGAGGCCGTGTTTGTTTCATGGATTTGGAAAGGAATTGGAAAAAAATATGAAATGTAATTATATTTTGCACATATTTTTCCTTTCTTTTTATAAAATCTCTTTCCAAATTCATGAACTAAACACAATTTGAGGGGTTTGGCGAGAAAAGAAAAGAAAACAAATAGGAAAAGGTTTCTTGTCATTTGTTTGGATGATTAATGAGGCGAGTAATGATGAGAAATGAAGAGAAATAATGAGAAAGTCAAATTACACCAAACTTAAGTTTTGATATTTTGTGAGAAACCAAAACTACTCTTTTAATATTAATCCATTCAAATAAGAAGGTGATAAATCATAATTATTTCTTTTTTCTTTTTCTCACCTAGATAAGAAAATTAGTTATAATTAAATAAGAAAATGACATAACTTAAGGATGCATATAGTAGGGTTGTGTATAGTAGAATTTTCCAAAGGTGTATCTATAATTTATGGCCCTGTTTGGGATATGGCTTTTTCAGTTAAAATAGTTAATAAAGACAAAATAAGTTAAAATAGTCAATACAATAAAATGTTACATCTAAATCATAATCATTTCATAACTATTAAATCAACTAAAAAAAAAGAAGCCAACTATCATCACACAACTTTTTTAGATAAATTAAAATAGCCAAATAACTAAAAAACTAATTAAAATAACCAAATTTCCATTCAAATAGGGCCAACATATGTTTGGTTTGTGTTTTGAGATGAATTTTGAAATTTTTTTGGGGAGAGAGTTTATAAATTTTTTTGATTTGTTTGGTTGTATATTTTAAAAATAATTTTGGAATTTGGGAGTTTGGGATAATTTGATATTTTGTTATAGTTGAGTAGATTTGTATGAGAGAAAAAATGACCGAGAAAGAGAGAGGAGAGAGAAAAAAAGATTGATTAATATGTAGGAAAAAAAAAGTGATTTTGGAAAAAATTTTCAAAAAATTTGAATCAAACAAAATTTTGAATTTTTTTTATAAAAATTATATCTTGATATACAAACTAAACAAGCTCAAATTTTTTATACATAAAAAATAGGGTGAATTACACTAATGGTCTTTATAGTTTGGGACTCGTGTCATTTTGGTCCCCGACTTTTCAATTGTGACACATTTGACCATGAATTTTGAATTTTGTTCCAAATAAGGACAATTAAATATACAATTGCTCAATTTCAATGACAAAATCGTCAATTTGGTAAAATATAAACTAATTTGACAAAAAAAATGTAATAGATAGTTGTTAGGCTTTTATTTATACCAACCAATGATAAAATTATGTAAAATTGATAAATCTTTTAGACATTTATTTATTTATTTATTTTACCAAATTAATTTTTATTATGTGTTTAGATGATGATCATGTAATAGATAGTTGTTAGGCTTTTAATTTGTAATCGATATATTTAATATATAAAATATTTTTAGTTTTGAATTTTTTAATTTAATAGATTAATTTAATAATGATATCAAAATTATTGCAATATTTGACTTTTGAAAAAATAGAAACTAATTTAATAAAAATAAAAATAATCACTCATTACAAGATTATCATCCAAACACATAATAAATATTAATTTGAAAAAAAAAATGTCTAAAAAATTTATCAATTTTACATAATTTTATCTTTAGTGGGTAGAAATAAAATTTGAAAATTCAAAAATATTTTATTGACATTTATTTTTATCAAAGTAGTTTATATTTTATCAAATATATGACTTTGCCTTTTAAATTGAGCAATGGTATATTTAATTGTTCTTATTTGGAGTGCGATTCAAAATTTAAGGTTAAATATGTCACAATTGAAAAGTCAGGGATCAAAATGACATAAGATCCAAACTATAGGGACGGTTAGTGTAACTCGCTCTAAAAAATAAAAAGTAAAAAACGAAAACATTCCATTTCCCTTCATACCCTGATCAGAATACCAATCAGTGTGTTTAGTTTCAGTTTTCTAAATTTAGTTTTTTAAAAATTAATTTTTTTATTTTTTTTGTTTTTAGTGAATATTTTTTTAAATTTTAAGTATTTTTTTTTACATTTTCAGATGCACCTTATTTAAATATATTTAAATAGTAAAATATTTATAAAAAAATATTTTTAAAAAATTAATAAACACACAAAAATATTAAAAATATACTGAATTTTCATATATATATTTTTTTGGGTTGATATTTAGGGATTGTTTGGGGTGTCCTAAATAAGTGTATTTTTTAACTTTTTATGAAATATGGGTTAGGTATAGATTGAATTTGAATTAATATGATAAAAAAGTGATGTGACTTAAATAAGATGATATGATTTAAATAACGTAGTGACTTTTTAATTTTTTTTTTTTTTTTTATTTTTTTTAATGATGCCTTAGTATATTTTTTTTTAAAGATTTTTGTTTTCACAAAACTGATCGCACCCGTTCCTCCCTCCAATAAACACCCCTCCAAAACCCTACCTAGCTTCTCCTCCACATCTCTCCTCCGCCGCTCAAACCTCTACACAGAGAGTTCTAGAGAGAGTGAGAGAGAGAGAGAGAGAGAGCGCAACAATGACGACACGGTTGAAGAAGCACAGGAAGAAGAGGGGCCACGTCAGCGCCGGCCACGGCCGCATTGGAAAACACAGAAAACATCCCGGCGGGCGAGGAAACGCCGGAGGAATGCACCACCACCGCATCCTCTTCGACAAGTACCATCCAGGTTACTTCGGCAAAGTCGGGATGAGGTACTTCCACAGGCTCCGCAACAAGTTCTATTGCCCCATCGTCAACATCGACAAGCTCTGGTCTCTCGTTCCTCAGGAAATCATGGCCAAGGCTTCCCCAACCAATGCTCCGATGATCGATGTCACTCAGTTTGGTTACTTCAAGGTTCTTGGTAAGGGCGTGTTGCCTCAATCTATGCCGATCGTTGTTAAGGCTAAGATTGTTTCGAAGACTGCTGAGAAGAAGATCAAAGAGGCTGGTGGTGCCGTTGTTCTCACCGCTTAGGTTTGCTTTTGTTTTTTGAAATTTAGGGTTTTGAGTTTTACTACACTTTGGGCGTATTCAAGATGACATTTCTATGATTACTATGTTTAGCTTTTAATGATGCAATGCAATATTATTGTTTTTTGTTTCTGTTCTGAGTAATTTCTGATCTCATTTTGTTTTGGATTTGTCATATGGGTTGTGGTTTTGTTTTATTGTTTTTCAGTTGGGTTTTAAGTGGCTTAATTGAATGATGATTAAATTTTGGTTGTTATATTGAGGAGCAAGTCTGAAACAGTTACTGCCTGTTTGGATTGAGGCCGTGTTTGTTTTATGGATTTGGAAAGGAATTGGAAAAAAAAAGTGAAATGTGAATGAAATATAATAATATTTCGCACACATTTTCCCTTTTCCTTTTTAAATCTCTCTCCAAATTCATGAACTAAACACAGTTTGAGGGGTTTGGCGAGAAAATAAAAGAAATAGAAAAAAATTAGGGCTCTTATCATTTGTTTGGATGATTAATGAGGCGAGTAATGGTGAGAAATGAAGAAAAATGGTGAGAAAGTCAAATTACACCAACCTTAAGTTTTGATATTTGGTGAGAAACCAAAACTACTCGTTTAAGAAACTGTAATCATTTATTGTCTGTCAATCCAAATGGAGTGTAAGAGATTTGATGAGAAATGGTAAGAAATGATGAGAAAAGGAACTCTATCTCATGTTTAGTTTACTACAAATTAGGTGAGAAATGGTGAAAAAGATGTGAACTAGAACTACACTTTTAGCCATTTGCCATGAAATAATTTGTACTGATACATACATAATAACTTCATTCTGGATGATATGTATTTATGGTATTTTTTATTCTCCTCACAACATACAAGAAACTCAGCTCACTAGAAGGGCCAAACTTTTGGGTGATAAAGATTTTCGTTTATAGTTGAATTTTTTAATAGTGGCTTGATTTCATTGCACATTGTCATCTTATTTCATGCTCTTCGTCATTCTCTTTGGGATTGACCTTCTCTCCCCATTCGTTTATTCATTGTCTGGTAATTGATGCCTGCATTTGATCACCACAGTAATTTGTTAGTCCGTCTTCAGTAAATGCATAACTAGAAATGGGTGCATCTTCGTATAGAGAATCTAGAAATGGCGAAATTGATGAATGTTCACTAATTATGATGCCTTGCACGTGTGGACTGTAGTTGTTGATTACCTCTTTGTTCCAGTTGGTTCTATAAATCATCCACAACAGGATGCATGTTTGTAAGATTGTTCCGGACAGCATTCCCTCTCAAATCCCCTGCAAAATTATAAGTAGTCGACATAGTTTAGGAGATGGAAAATGATTTGCAAACACGCTCACATTACACACTATCATCTATTATATGGCATTTACTCTTTATTAGCTGAATAGCAATTAACATCATTTTTTGCTTCCCCGGTTTAGGTTTGCATCTTTGAATTTGCTCTGCAGCGGCATAGGCAACTTTCAATGTTACCTTCAAAGGGGAGACCTACTTTCATAGATTATAATGTAAAAGTGCTATGGTGATTGAATTTTGGTTGTCAAAATTTTTTTTTTTTGGGTGTCTTTTGATATGTTACTCGCTGCGTTACATGGACTCGGCACTTTAGGGCGAAGTACGTGTATCGACACGACACGGGTGCGGGTGCGGGTGCGGGTGTGGGATCTGTGTCTGATTCGCGTGTTCTTTTTCGGACACAGCTCTTTACAGACAACAAAAGAGATGAAAGAGGGAGAGAAAGAGAGAACTTGGTCACCTGTCGAAATGGCGAAGACATTGGTCGTTGCTTCGGCTGTTTCGACATGCTTGATCTCGATCTCCTGCTCTGTCTTCTCTCTCGTCTCTCGATCTGTCGATCTCTCTTCCTCTCCTCTCGTCTCTCGATTTCGATCTCCCTTTTCTTTCTCTCGGTCGCCGACTTCTTTCTTCTCTTCTCTGTTCTTTCTTCTTTTCTTTGTTCTCTCGATCTCCCTCTAATGCTCCGATGATCGATGTCACTCAGTTTGGTTACTTCAAGGTTCTTGGTAAGGGCGTATTGCCTCAATCTATGCCGATCGTTGTCAAGGCTAAGATTGTTTCGAAGACTGCTGAGAAGAAGATCAAAGAGGCTGGTGGTGCCGTTGTTCTCACCGCTTAGGTTTGCTTTTGTTTTTTGAAAGTTAGGGTTTTGAGTTTTACCACACTTTGGGCGTAAACAAGATGACATTTCTATGATTACTATGTTTAGCTTTTAATGATGCAATGCAATATTATTGTTTTTTGTTTTATGTTCAAAGTAATTTCTAAACTCATTTTGTTTTGGATTTGTCATGTTGGTTATATGTGGTTTTGATTTATTGTTTTTCAGTTGGGTTTTAGTCGCTTAGTTGAATGATGATTAAATAATATAATTTATTTTATATCTAAAATAATTTTTATTTGTTATTTATATAATATAATTCATCTTCATATAATAAATATATTTTTTTTGAAACAAACTATTTAATGTATTCCCATACCTGTATCCAAATTTGGATACATACCCACGTATCCTTAATTTTTAATTTTGAAGCATCCGACCCTTAAATATGCACTCGCACCCGACACCGTACCCACGGTTTAGTACTCAAATTTAATCACTGGCATGCAAAAACAAGGAGATTTTACCGTAACACCCATGTCAAATGGGTAGCCCAGCACAAGACCTAGAGGAATGCCAAATAAATAGTAGCATGCTATGTTCACATAGGCAACATAAGCTTGCCACCCTGCTCCAATGGCCACCCCTGTAAACAATTCCATCACCGGTGTCGGATAGAAAACAAAATGGACCAAAAAAAGAATTTATACATACCGGAGTATGTTGTACACAGTCAATGACAATGCATATTGCTAACAGTGGTGTGAGCTCATACACAAGCTGTTTGACTTCTCTGCTTTCTAAAAACAAATCCGGGTACTGATTCCAGGCAACAATCAATACCAGCGCCATGATGAGGCCGAGCATAGATGATATCATGGCGGCTAGCACCACCGAGAATTTTGCGGTTCTCGGGTGTGCTGCCCTGAGTTCATTTGATACCCTCACACTGCACATTAATTGAAAGTTTTTGCTCGAGAGCGAAAATCATATGTGATCAATTTGATCAATGTTTGTTTTGTTAGTTAAAATCTATGGAGGGTTTGTTTAAACCATATATGGCTGCATTGAACCCAATGCCTACCATGAGTGTCCATCCCAACATGTTCATGCTGCAAAATCAATAGCATAACTCAACAATTAGCAATAAATAAAGACTCCTCTCCTCATGTATGGGTTATACTTGTTTGAGTTTGTGTGTGTGTGTGTGTTGTATTAGATTTTTTTTTTTTAAAATGTCCAAATTAAATACCGGAGGAAATGCCCAGTCTAGTAAATTATTTTCTATCAATTGAAAGAAACAAAGAAACTAGAGGTAATTTCTACTCATATCATAGTAGGCTGGCCAAATCAAAATGTGTTACATTCTTGTATCAATAGTGTAGTGGTTGTAACCAAGCAAAATTTCAAGTGCTATATGTTGTGGTGCCATTGTGGTGCCACTTGCTAACGTGTTTATTTTAGTTAAAAAAAAATAAAATAAAATTTGGTACATATATATATATATTTTAAAAACTTGTTGCGGGATATGATAGCTAGAGTTAGTTGCCAGTAGCTAGAAGTAGTGATTGGAAGTGGTTGTCAGCCGTCGAAGGTTGTTTCTTGTAAGAGGTGGTTGCGAGTGGCGAGAAATGGTTGGCAGTAGTCAGATGCAGTTGCCTATTGCACTGCAAGAGGTGGTGGTCATAGGTGATTGCCGGCAGTCAGAAATAGTGATTGTTGATTATCAAAAATGGTAGAGGTGGTTGGAGGTGATTTTTAGTAAAAGGTGGTGGCCAAAAAGTGATTACTACAAATGGAAGGTTGTTATCTATAGAGATCGGCGGCAACGGTGGTTGGGAGGTTGGCCAAATGTGCTGGCCGTTGATGTGGTAAATGGAAATGGTTGAAGAAGAAGAAATGAATGAATTTATTTATTTTAAATAAGTTAAATTAATTTTTTGTGGTTTCAAGAATTTAATAAATTTTATATATTGTTTACAAGCTTTTAAAAATAAAAATGGACACCAAATGAATTTGTTTCGTTGTTGAAGATTTTATAAATATATATATACACAACACTATAAACATAATATGGGTTTTAGGGGTAGCCATCGTGTTGTGTCGTTTTCAGGTCATGTCATATCGGGTTTGCGTTTCGAAAACATGAATATAAACATGACCTGTTTAATAAACGTGTCATATATGTAAATACTAACATGATCTGTCAATAATCATGTCAACCAGTGAGTGACACGATTGACACGATTAATTTCTAAATCTATTTATTTACCATGACTCGACATGACACGACTCGATTGACTCAACAAAAACCCTATTTGAGAGAGAGAGAGAAGCAAACATGAAAATACATTTGGAAAGGAAAAAAATGAAGAGAACAAAAAAAGAAAAGGGTGATTCTACTTACACTACTCTTTTACCTCTTTACACTCTCCATCTCATTACACCACTAAAAAATTATTAGATTCTCATTACACCCAATATATTACCAAAACAAACCCTAAGGTAAAAAAATCTTCAAAACCTATCTCTTTACACCCATACTTTTGGAAGGAAAAGAAGGAAAAGAGAACGACACAGGGAAGAAGAGTGGACAACACCGGCGTAGAGGGGTTCGGACGGTGTGGAGGTGTTCGAACGGCGTGGATGATTGAACTCATTCTTCTCATTCACCAAAAAGTAAGTGGAAAAACTCTTCTTTCGCTCTCTATATTGATAGACATAAATATGTATATATATATATATATATATCTATATCATCTATTTCATCATTTTTTGTGAATAGACAAAGAATAGCACATTCCCAACATAACTTTGGTGGTTTTGATCTTGGAATTTAATTGGGTTTGTGATTTTTGGTGGTAGTTTTAAATGTTGAAGTTTAGATTTTGGTCATCTGTTTTATCAGATTTTTGGTCCTCTGTTTTGCCCATTGTCTTTGTTTTTTTATTTTTTTGAGAGTGATAGTTAAGTGGAAAGGGTTAGCGTTCTATGGGTAAAAAGCTGCCATAGAAGGTTGTCAATAGTTGTAGAA